GACAAAATGTGGGGACAGAGTTCAGATCCATGTTGATTTATCCCAGCAAGTCAGCATTTGCTTTATGGTGGGGTAGTGGATAATCTTCACGAGCCTGCACCTTTATTGCCCTGAAGTTCAGGCTGGTTTCTGGCTGTGAGGCTGGAACCACAACTGTTCAGCCTGCAGCGGTCAGCACACCTTCTTTGGGCTGAACCCAGCTGGGAGCTGCTAAGTGAAGCCAAAAGTTGTTCTGAGTTCTGAGCTCAGTTGGCTCTTCTGCTAGATGGCTCCCAGCCAGTCACCCTGTCCTGCTGGATGGCCAGATCTGCACCACTCACCAGCCAGTGCAGTCCACAGCATCCGCTGCTACACTGCACTGCTATGTCTCTCCATGGAGGCCTCTGGTGTTCCCAGAAATCACTGCGTATCTACAGGTTTGTACTGTCTTCCCACTCAATGAGTCCTGACTCAGGGAAAAGGCCCCGCCCACCACCATCTTCTTCATTGAAGTTTCTCTGAAAATAAAACGTAAAAACTGTTCTTGGAGTGATTTCTAAACAGAACTTGTCTCTCATCCTAATGTAACAGAAATGTATGTGATGATCAGTATTGAACAGTAAGTTTTCTCATGTGGTAGATTTCAAACTGCAGAATAACAAAGTGGACAATCACATTCCCAAGAAAATACTACTACTAAAAATAAAATGCTAGACATAGAATGATGCCTTTTGTTTCCAAAGATTATCCATATACTAAAGTGATGCATCCAGTTATATCATGTACAAATTCCCTATGATGAATGTGATCATTATTATACCTAAAATAAACTTAATTATCAATAATCTTAATTAATTAAAAAAGAATAAAGTGATCCCCTATCATTAGTATTTTGTGAAGAGATATCTTTGACACTGTATAAATGTCCTGTTTCTCATCATGTTTTCATCAATTATTTTTAGCATCTATTGGTGATTCTTTTTTATTTTAAAGAGAATAAAAACCTGGAACAATTATAACTCATGGTTGTAAAGTGATAATTATTTAAATTTCATCATTTTATCTACATTTTGTAAGTTGGAATTTTACCTTAATTCAGTTTTCAGGGGGGATTTTTTAAAAAATTTTTTTTTATTTTTAAAAATTTAACTGTGATTCCTTTCTTTCCTTCTTTTTTGGGAGAAGGGACCAGAAATCAAACTGAGGACCTCATACTTGCTAGGCAGGCACTGTGCCACTGAGCTAAATTCCAGCCCTGTGGTTTCTAACAGGAATATTAAAAACATCTCCCTACTTCTGTTTTATGTATGATTGTTGTGGCTTATGTCTCAATGCTCACCCCCCGCCCCCCGCAAGGCTCATGAGTTCATAGATGGGGCTTTAGAGAGGTGGTTGGATCTAGGGTGTGTGATGCTGGGATTAAGAGTATGTGATTATATGGAGGAACAAGAAAACAGCCTGTTGCTAGACACAGGTCAAGTCTCTCGGTCCTTCTTTTCAATCCTGGCCTTCCTTCCAGCCATCATACCTCAGTGAAAGGAGTCACTGGTGAGGAGGTAATATGCTATTTTTGACAACCCTTAGGCTGTAACTACTTAATGGGTCCCTCTTGCATATCTCTGTCTTCCTGAGAAACCACTCTGAAGATACCACCACGTATTACAGCAGCCATTGATATTTTCCTACTAATCTATCCATAACTGTGTAAAGTTTGTAATGTTCCTATCCTATTTCATAAATGGATGTATGTTTATTATTATGTGTTTCCTACAACAACCATTGAGAATAGTTAATGATTTTTCAATAGGTCACTCATGTATAGCTCTATTTATTTTCTTTAGAAGCCACTTTGAAGATACCAAAGTATAGTACAACAACTCTTGATAATCTCCTACCTCTTTTGTCTGTAACTCACTATTATTTGTCTATTTGTTTTCCTGAGAAACTATTTTGTAGACAATAATATGTAAAATGATAACCATTGATAATTTCCTACCATTTTGTCTGTAATTTGCTAAGTCCCCCCTATTATTATGTTATCCTTCTTTTATTTTTAAAATAAAAAAAAAAAAAGAGTATGTGATTACTGGGCTGCGGATATAGCTCAGTGACACAGCGCTTGCCTGACAAGTATGAGGTCCTGAGTTGGATTCATGGTACAAAACAAAACAAAACAAAACAAAACCCCCCCCAAAACAGAGTATGTGATTACTAAATTTGTCCACTGACTGCTTTGGCTCAGTTCTGGTGTGGATAATGGAAAGGCCTCTCTTGGGTATGGGTGGTGCCACCCAAAGGGCAGGTAGTCTGGTAGGGATAAAAGGGGAAAGCAGGCTGCTAGGGTGTCTCCTGCTTCACTACTTTGCTGTTTTGCAGCCTTCTGCCTGCCCTGCTATGCCATAGACTGTTTCTCTCTGCACTGCCCCTCTGCCATCCCACCTGCCTTGGAGCCAGCCAATTTTGGACTAAAACCTCTATAAACTGTGAGTCAAAATAAACCTTTCTTCCTTTAATGTTGGGCATTGGGTACTTTGCCTCAACAACAAGAAAAGTAACTAAGACAGTGATATACATGCATGTTACTCTTCATTCATCTGACGGATTCCTGATGTATTATTTCCTGCTGCAAAGCTCTTATAGACTTGCCTTATTTGTTTGGTTATTTAAGTGAATGCTCAGTAGTCCTATTGTGATATCTTATCAGGTCCCACCAGAGAAACTGTGCTCAAATTGAGTCAACTTCTTACTTCCCAACAAACTTTAAGCAATTTTGAACTTTTCCCAGTCTCATTTCTCTTCCTGTCTGAGAGCAGAAACCAGGTCTCCATTCCTCTTTCAAACTCCAGCTCAGTGTGTGCACAAGTAAATCTGCAGTTATTTTCCGTTAAACTGACTGTTTTCATGTATGCCACTGTTAGTCCATTTTCTATTTACTTAAAGAATTTTACCTTTTTTTAAAAAATCTATCAAAAGATTCTTGTAAAGCCCTTCTGGAACCACTCAGGTTTTGGTTTACACCTACACCTATATGCTAAACTTTGCTACTTTTTGCATACATATGTTTCTACTTCTAAAAATATGGATTTTGTTACTCATTCTGGGCAATTCTTTGTAACCATACATAGATACTTTTCAGATTTCTTCCTGGCTACTCCTGTTCTGTATATCTACATTTTCTTCATTTAACTCACATTTTCTCTCTTTTTTTCCCCCAGAAATTAATACTGCTCTAAGACAAGAACAAGTTTAATTTCTGCTACAAGTAAGTCAGTGCTTCCCTGTCCTCTGTCCAGTGCCAAATTTACCTGCTTTGTTGTGGTTACGCAGAGCAGAAGCGAAACTTCTTATGCCTCAATTTCTACTCTTACTTAGATTCAAAGTGCACTAAAGTTATATTGCAGCAAAAGTTGAACTAGAGGCAAGATTTCTGATCCCCAAGCTTAGAGGTTTGCTATTCAGGGCTTCCTTCATGTAAAATGGTCATGTCAGCCTTGTGGGATAAAACAGGAAAGCCTGAATAGCAGAGTTAGTAGAGGTCTCAAGTCACATTTCCTATCCACAGCCACCCCCAATCAGTCACAGCTGTATGACAGTTCTCTGTGAGCTCGCATTTATGCTGCCTGTATCCCACCGCAAGAGCAAATCTACAGACCGCGTTTGTGCACAAGCTGAAGGAAGCACTGTCTGTTCTGTGTACAAATAAAGTTGGGGAGAAGAACAGAGAGTTAGCCTTTGAGAAATCTTCAACCAAACGATGGGAATGGTGGACAAATGTCCCTCCCTCAAGAACAATACAAGTTGGCATTCTGTCTGTTTTTCAGAAGTGCCTAAGGAATAAACCACGGCCTCAGTAATGGACACTTACTTTGACCTTCTTTCTTTCTCTCTCTCCTTGATTTATCAAGTCTGTTCTCTGGAAACTCTTCCCAAATAAACTATCTGCCCTCACATCTTTGTCCCAGGCTCAAACTAAGCCACACATTTGTGCAACAAACATTTAGTAAATGACTATGCTGGCTATTGAGATAAAGATAAAATACTTAGTGTGTTCCTGAAGTGTATATCATGGAGACAAGTAAATAATTACCAAAAAATCCTCTACAATTGCAATGTATTTTTCAAGTTGCTAAATTAGGGGCAAAAAGGAAACAATGTATAAAGACAAAGTGAGAGTCTTGTAACATACTTGGGGGAGATGTTTCTTGGAGGATGTATTGCTTAAGTTAATGGAATGTCGATCATATAATGACTTTGTATCACATAATTCAATGGCATAAAATTCAATGCCTTCATATGCTGTGTGTAGAAGCTGTGCTCTGACAGGTTTGGTATGCAATATAGGACATAATTTTAGATATTATGTAGATGGACATTTAACTTTTTTGTAGTTATGAATGTCAGTACACACTAAAGTAAAAATAAGGACCACAATAAATTTGATTTCACAGAGTATCAAGGAGTATGATGAGGCTAAAATTTTTAAACATTTGAAATTGGTTTTAAAAATATCAAACGAATAACCTGCGTACAGACTGGCAAAGATTGTGTAGATAGTACGGATATTACTGAAGTGTTGGAAAATAAAATTCCTGGCTTCCAAAAACTTAACACAGACCCGTAAGGAAAACAGATCCATTAATAAGAGTGGTGAATGCAGTAATGAACTTAGAAGCCACGTACAATATAACGATGGAAAAGTAGTGAGGAACAAAGTGAAGGAGAGACTATTTGCCAGGAAGGCTATTGTTCTAGTGAGGGGAGAGGGAATTAGTGTGACTAAAGAAATCCAAGAAAGAGAAGTTAATGTAACAGTTCACTGCTACTATCGTGTGAAAACCTTGCTGGTTGCAAGCAGCGAAGATACAACCTGTCGAACAAATCAAGAGCAGCGCTGCACACACACATACACACAGGAGTAGATTTGAATTGATCAGAAAGTATACGAAGAAGCACACTTTTATTAAACTTCATTTAACAGTGTTTTAATATTTGGCCCATCATTTCCCATTTGACTCAGAGGCTGGAGAAGAGCCAACACACACTGTTACTTTTTTCTGTTTCGAGCACGTTCTAAGTGTCGTAGGCTTATCGGGTCCCCCATTCTCAAAAAAACTTTTTCAGATGAGGACACTGAAACATAGGAGGGAAGTCAGGTAACCTGTCCAGCTAATTAGTGAAATAGCAAGGTTCAAACTCGGGCGTCCTGGCTCTAAAATACCGTTTTGTTTTGTCTTGTTTTTTTTCCTTAACACTACACCAGAATAAAAGGGCCGAGTCCACAGCGCTAAAGCAGGTCACATTTCAGCGCTGGGTCGCGAGACAATTACTCTTAACGGCAGCAGAAAACCTGACTTTACATCAGTTTCTTCACCTATAAAATGGAGAGTTCGGTGTAGAGAGCGAGGTCAAGAATGTGAACGTGAACTTCAAACTATATACGCAGCTTTACAAAGTAGTTGCTGAGACTCTGAGCGCAAGCAGCCGTGAACTGCAGCTTATCGGTCTGCCCAGCTCGCAGCTCGGCGCCAGGCTCCGCCCCCAGGAGCGGCAGGTGGGGCCGGCGCATCTCTGCGCATGCGGAAAGCGCTGCCCGCGCCCACCTCTGACCCAGGCTGACAGTAGCTGCCGTTTCTGAGAGGTCGATTCGTAAGGAGGCGCCCGGCCCGGTGCCCCTCTGCTCGCCCTTGTGCGGGTTCTTCTCGTACTTGAGCGGCGTCCAGAACACGGCCGGTTCCCGCTGAACTGCCTGACTGTCTGCGGAGCCTGCCACTGTTGGCTCAGTAGTAGACTGTCGAAAGTGCCGGCCCCCGCGCCGGCGCCGGCAGCAGCCGGGTGGGAAGGCTCAAGATGGCGTGTCTGTTGGAGACCCCAATCCGCATGAGCGTCCTCTCGGTGAGTGACCCGCCGCGGCCGCTGCCCTCCGCGGAAGCCTCGCCCGGCCCGCC